AAAATTAATTAAAGTGCTAAAGCAGTGTAAAAAGTTACATGTTGAAGCTATGAAAAATTGCGTGCAACAAAAAACGTTACAATGGCCGCCACATCGCTGATTAAAAAATCACATAAGAAATATAAAGAACAAAAAACATTGCCAAATCATAAAACACAAAATAATTGGCTATGGCGAAACTGCAGAGGCAATCACCAACGGATTGGCACAACAATAAATTGCTGGTTGGTGATGGCATTACTCGCACTGTCCGCATCTTACAGCGGCGCTGATTACTACAACAATGGCGATGGTTGGCGGCGACCACCACTACTACAACCACCACTACAGCCACTCCCACCGCCCTTGGGTACATTGCAGAACGTCACTTGTATAGCGCATGACACCAAATTCACTTGTGATTGTCAGCATATGAATCAGGTAAGTTCTTATTTGTACTACACACGTTCATACAAGCGCTCCTATGTATTCGCATATCGAAACGCACATGTTCGTAGGAACACATGTATGTATGTATGTAACTACATAATAACATTTGTAGGGATGACTCATCATACGCTTAGTAATTTCTTAGCCTCCTTTAATTTATTACAATATTAAATTGCTCTCGTTTATCTACCTTTCTCAGCGCCTACAGCTGCCCCACCTGATCGGCTATGTGTTCCAAGTAGAGATAAGTAATTGCAAGTTTTTGACCATCGAAGCCAATGCACTGGAAGATACGCAAGGTTTGCGTAAAATTAATTTTAAGAATATCGAAAATTTAATATTAAACAAATATGCGCTGGCCTTTCCACGGTACGCGAGCAATACACCGCTTATTATCGAATTCGATAGGGTGAGTACCAAAAGAGTGTGTACTAATGGGTCATTCCATCTAAAAGAGGAAAACGACATAAACCTCGTTTTAAATGACTAGATTTCATTTTTACACCAGTCACAAGGACCTAAGCCACAAAATTTAAATATTTTTATAACACTCCTGTGAAGATTATATCGGCCTGTTTGTTATTGAAAACGAAAGCGTATGGTTCATATTTTATATTATTATTATTTATTATTTTATTTTTTTTTTCTTTTTTTTCATATTTTTTATATTTTGGCTAAAATTCATCTTTGAGTGCTCAAAGTAAAATACTTAGAGTTCTTTTCAGTGTCCCACCAGTCACATTCAATCAAATGATAGTTACATAGAACTAAGAAATTGTTTGGCATTTGTTTAAGGAATTTTATATTTATATTTAGTTATCGTTCTATGTCAATAATTATATTTCGCTGTTGCATAAATTCCGACAATTGATCAAATTCTGGTGTAAAATGTCCCATCAGTCACAATGGAATGACCCTAATGTCCATATTGATAGCGTAACAACTGAAAAAATGGCATGCGCTGGAATATTTGTATTTATTTCCAGGTGAATTTCGAGTTAATTGATTCGCATGCAATCAATGGTAACATAGAAGAGATCTCATTTATTGGTGGACGCATCGATGTGATACATCCATTTGGTTTCACAACACTCAAAGATCGCGCTATTCTACTGAAAATGGATAATGTGCTGGTTAAGCGAATAGAACCACAGGTAAGAGTGGTACAATTTCATAGGATTTATTGGATTCAGTTTTATTATACAGGGTACGGCAATTTAAGTTTTAACAAATAAAAGTGTCATTTTCTTTATTTATTAATGAATTTTGTTCAATTATACAAAAAGGGCTGACAAATTAATTATCTTAAAAACTATATTAGCGGTTTTGAGTTTGGCCAACCCTGGCCTGAATTATAGCCTTCTAATGGGCAATGGAGGCATCACTATCGGTCGCTTATGCTTTCTGGTGGCCATTCGAATGTTCGAATTCTCGGCTGATCCCTCTGACAAGTAAATTTGACTTTTAAAAGTATACAGAAGAGAAACAAAAAATTCTTAGCACCATGTCAAGTTAATCTAACTCCTAGTTAAACATCGTTATCGACGTTATCGACAACCAGCATGTCATAACATGTGACCAATAAAGCAGTCGATGTGTTTAACTGAAGCATGTACCTCCAAATAGTGTTAACTAGACGTAGTGCAAACGGCCCATAATGTTATCTCTTTGGTCACAAAAACATCTTAAACAAGTAAGAAAGTCTAAGTTCGGGCGGAGCCGAACATT